GGCCAATCGAACAATTGGTTTCCTTAAAAGAAATTTAAATATAGGATCAACTACAGTGAAGGAGAATGCCTACAAAACATTGGTACGTCCAATTGTAGAATATGTCAGTCCAGTATGGGATCCATACCTTAAGATAGAGACTGACAGACTTGAGATGGTACAAAGAAGAGGAGCTCGTATCTAACAAACATCATAACCTCTCCAGCGTTAACATGATGCTACAACATCTCAAATGGACATCCCTAGAACAAAGAAGGAAAGAAGCGAGACTCACAATGCTATACAAAATAGAAAACAACAAAGTGCCATGTCAAAGGAAGGTCGTCTAATACCACCGAAAAGACTGACACGAAACATGCATGATAAATCCTTCCAAGTACCATCAGCATCCTGTGATTACCGCAAACACTCATTCTTCCCAAGAACCATCCGGGATTGGAACGCTCTTCCTCCTGGGGTCGTATGAGCACAGTCAGTCGAGGCCCTTAAAGCCTCGATGACAAAGCTGAATTAAAATTTAAAATTTTGGGGGGAGGGGTGGTCTTATATGCGCACCAAACCATGGCAGTATAATCAGTTCGTTGATTGTGGCCATTATCTGGCAGAAGCAGAAGCAGAATTGTCCCTTTAGTATCTCTTGACTCTTTTTTGAAGATTTAAATCCGTCAGTATTAAGTTATCAATTGTAGTTACTGTTATGATTTAAGGTAAAAAAATAAAACTGATTTTAAACTGAGATTACTATATACAGTTATAGTAATATCAGTTTTAAAAGAGTCATTGCACACAGACTGATCTCATTATATTATGTTTCCAATTCACTTGACAAGGCTCCAATAATTATTACTGAGGAATCTGGATAATAATGGAATTAGGTGAAATAGAAGAGTGTGTGTCAGCGTTCCTTGATGATAAAATGTAGGCACTGGCCACGATTACGTTGAAATGTAACAATAATAAAAAAAGTTATTGTTACGTTTGACACTATTTGCTAGAATTATTTACTTGGTAAGGAACCGATTAATTATGAACACATAACAATAACATGTTTCTACGGTTACGTTGCGTTATTGTTACGTTAGAATTATTAAACGTTTAACCTACTTCAAGATAATACTACAGTTTAGTAGTGCCAAAGGCGAAAAATATAGTTCAATGGTTCGATGTTTAGAGAAAAAAGTGTTCAAGCACTTCTATGTATTTAACTGCACACCTCCCCTTATTACTGTCTTTATACTTTGAACAATGGACGAAGTGATTCCTTTTGGGTGAACAAATTAAAAACTTTAGAGGCGTTTGAATCAAAACTAAAACAACATCAAGACTCAAATTTTAAACAGTTATACAAACGCAGTTCGCGAAAAATTGATACATCAAAAGCAAAGTTTGACTGCAGTGAACTTATATACGGTCCGAGTTGTCTTCATAGACGGTCCGAGTTGTCTTCATAGACGGTCCGAGTTGTTTTCATAGACGGTCCGAGTTGACTTAGGTAGCACTCCACAGTTAGAAAAAAACATTACAATTGAACCACAAAATGTTTTATCATCTTCTATTCCTGGCTTTCTAATACATTAACCTAACTGTTTGTGTTATACATGTGCATATGTATGTAATCAGTATCTTCCATAGATTTGATTTTTAAAAGTTAAAATGGTGAAATATAATTCCTTTTTTGTGTATCCATGGCAACATTCTGCATTTATTTACCATAAAATATTGCAAAAAGGGAGGTAAAAATGTCACATATTTCCCCAAAATTTGGTTCAAACTAGAATTTCAATGCCTTTCAGTGATACCTTTTCAGAAATTGTTGATATAAATCTACCAAATGATCAAATAAAAAATGGGTGTCTTTCGCCTCATTTTTTCTTAAAATTTAATTGCAAAGTTCGTGCGACAAAAAGTTGGAAAAAAACATTACAATAATTGCCGGACCAATATTTGGTATGGATATGAAAATACGGACTGTCATACAGAAAACAGCCCATATTACATACATTACATAATCTTGATGTTCCTATAAACCCACTATGAAGGCTATTTTAATCTTCAGCTATCCAAAAATGAATTTTATTCTACACTAGCTATCATATTTGAAAAATCCACAGGGGCCAAAATGCGAAACTACACACCTAACTGTGGAGTGCTACCTTATTATTCGGTCCGATTTGACTGCAGACTCGGTCTGACTTGTCTCCGCGCGGAGTTGTCCCGCAACTAAAATACTGCGAAATTCTGTATGCGTGTTTGTATCCGTGTAACATGTTGTTCTTGAGGGTTCTTATGTTTACTGTCAAACGATCTTCCTTCAGCAGTAACACTCAAAACCAGCTTTTTTGTTTGCAGATGACAGTATTCTTTATAGAACAATAAAAAACTACAAGATGGCGTTATCTTACAAAACGATCTTTTGAATTATCTAGCTAACTGGGAACAAATTTGAGGAATGCAACTCCATTCCGAGAAAAATTCAAATACCTAAGTTACTACAAAAAGATCATAGTCACCATACAAACATAGTATACACTGAAAGCTGAAGGCCACGTTTTATAGTCAACACAACAAAATAAGTTGTTATCACTTAAGCTTATCCAAAAATATGTCGTGGGACACTCATATAAATAACATCACTGTTATAAAGACAACGAGATCTTGTGATTATTAAAACGAAATCTAAAATAAATCGTGATTCCGTACTGATTTAAGTTATTTAAAAAAATTCAACCATGCATTTAAACTATAAACAAAGTTGATTCCCCGCCGTATGCATAAATAAAGCGTCCGCAAACATCAGATTTAGCCAACGTTTGTGTAAAAGTACAACTTGAAATGGTTATTTTCTGTAAAACACATTTGATGCTACTGCCACAGTTCTGATTTATTTCATATAATGTAGGAATTAAGTGTTTTTTCCTTTCGAGCTTCTTTACTAAAGTTTTGCATATGTAACAGAGGGTACAAATATGAATGCTAATAATAAAATAATGCGGCAATATCCATTTAACAACTGTTCTTGATGAATGTGGTACTGATGTGAAAAGTGATCATCAATACATTTTACACCACTGTATAATGACAAAAGTAAACCACTTTACTTTTTGTCACAGGGTATAAAGAATAATATATAATACCGGTAATAAGAAGATGTGATATGATTACCAATGAGACAACTCTCCACCAGAGACCAAAATGACGTAGAAGTAAGCAACTATAGGTCACGGTACGACCTTCAACAATGAAAACCCATATCGAATGGCAAAAAAAAAAAAGGCCCCGACATAACAAATAAAAAATAATTCAAACAAGAAAACGAAGGCCTGATTTATGTACAAAATAATAAACGAAAAGCAAATATGATGTACAGCAACAACGACAACCAGTGAATTACATGTTCCTGACTAGAGACAGTCAGATACAGAATGTGGTAGGGTAAAGCATGTTAGCGGGCGCCCGACCCTCCCACTAAACTTAACCTGGGACAGTGGTACAACAGAACAACACACGTATAAACTGTACAGCACAATAAACGAAATCAAATGTGATAAACAGCAACAAACAACAACCATTCTATTACAGGCTTCTAACTTCGGACTGGCACACAACCCTCCCTTAACCCGGGACAGCGGTGTAACGTTAACAGCACAACAAAAGGTCAAGATATAAAAATCAGTTGAAAAGGCTTACCTCTTCAGATCGATACAAGGCACAAAAGCATGCAATTACAACAAACACAAAAGACGCAAAGTACAGATCAGAGAGTACTCACAGTTACTGAAAGCTAGTTCAAAGCCAATAACAACTAATAAATAAATCGTGTATCTAAGACTAAAATATCAATCAGTACACATCCGTACACATAGATTTAGTGTAAAGCCGTCATTTACAGTCGGAGAAAACATGACCTTGTGCAATGGCAAAATATAAGTATCGACAGATTTGTAGATCCATGAATGTACGTATGTGTATGTCAATTATATTTATTTTAGTTTTAAATTATTGACATAAAACAATTTTCAAAGATCTAGTTACAGTGTTGAATTGTTAACCTTTTTAAAAAAATGTTTTTTACAGGATCGGTATGTTTACCCGGATTGTATCTAAATTTATGAGCTCGGTAAACAAAACTTGGCCGCCGAAAAGAAGTTCAACATCCCGTCATTTATGGAATCTCAATCTATCAGATTGTTGAAAATTTAAAGACGAATAAAGTCCTGAATATTTAAACACCCTTAGTATACATACTATAACACCCTACATACTATAAAAGTTTTAGTATGAAAACTTTAGGAGAGGGAACGAAAAATTCCGAAGAGTCTTTCAAACTCATTAGTCGAAAATAAACTGTCATGGCAGAAAAAGAAAAGGACCAAAAGACAAACAACAGTATAAAAAACACAACATAGAAAACTAAAGACTGAGTAACACGAAGTCCACCAAAAACCGGGGTGATCTCAGGTACACCGGAAGATAAGCAGATCATGTTCCACATGTGGCACCCGTCGTGTTGCTCCTGTAAGAACAAAACCGGTAATAAGTCTAATTTGGTAGGAAGAGGGGACGGTATATATTGTATCTTTTTAATGTGAAATATTATGCATTGTTCCTTAGGGATTAGTGGTCTTTTTAGGTATTCGGTGTTGTTCGGTGGTGTTTGGCGGTTTGCGGTAGTGTTCGGTGATAAAAAGACAGACCCGAAAATGAGGAAAGCAATGCATGGCTCTTTATAAAACCTGAATTTGCATTCGTTTCCTTTTGGATTTCAACAGAATGCTCAGTACCAGTGCGGGATTAGTAGTACTTATTTTAAGTTTTTTCGTAATCGCAAAAAATAAAGAGACTTAGTTATACCTATGATATCATTATCACGAGCTAGATTGTCTAACAATAAAAATATGGTATGGATTGCTTTAATTTTGAATTATATAAAAAATGACCTCAGTTTTGTATTTTACGACACCTCATTTTACGTTTTGTTATTTGAGCATGCGCAAAAAGAAATACCAACAATGGAGTTCATCGGATTTTATAGTTTTGAAGAAAATTTATTATTTTACAACTTTGACAACATTACTTAACAACCTCATGTAGCATGAATAATATTTTGACATGCCAAGATAACTTTAGAGTAGATATCGTCCAGATCGATCCTGCGTTTTGGCCACAAAATGCAAAACAAGTTGTCCAGAATTCCGAGGACGTCAATGTTTACAAAATGTCACCTACAAATAATAATGTGATTAATGAGAAAGAGACTAAGTCAAGGTTCTCTCACATCGAGGAAGGCTTAGAATCCTCCTTGAGGTAATGACTGAAAGAAATTTTGGGTCATTAGTTATTGGTTTTGAAAATGTGTTATTGTTGTTCATGTTAAATGTGACACATCATACAGTCACAGCCAATGAATCATGCTTACTGAACACTGTGAAGTGATTAGTAAAAGTGGTTGTCAAATTTATAAGCGTTAGATATGGGAGATGCCCAAGAGGAATATTTTTTAATATTATTTTTCTTAAGAAAGATCATTTATGTCACTTGACCAAAATATTGTGACAGGATTACTTCCCTTGAATAGTAGGATCTATGTCAACTCGTACCTTTGCCAACTCGTACCCAATATTTTATTATTATTTATATGCATTAAAGTTATTTTCCTTCATATGATATAGAAACATACAAATAAATTAAAGTACAACTTTATTGATCGGTAATCTGATGCAATTTGTTTTCAAATCAGAAATATTTAAAGTTATATTAATTATCAGTCTTAAGAACTAATTGATTATATGAAATTGTTTGAACAGTAATTTCTTTGCTAAACGTGTCGAATAATTATAATCATACAACAGGGATCTCCATGGATGTGAATTTAACGATGGCAGTTCTCGAAATTAGCACATATCCTTCTCTCCATATTCTATGGAGCTTTCAAGCTTGTGATGATGTTACATAAGTTCTTCTTTGCCAACAAAGATGAAAACTTATGAATTTGTTACTTCCCAATTAACACGATTAAAGATTTTAAACTGCATTAAAAAAATCCAACCTGTTTTTTTAAAACATTTAAAAAATTCTATCACTAGCTCAATAACAAACTAAAAATAACAATTAAATTTTCAGTTTAACCTTAATTAATTTTAATGAAACATACCAATCATGCTAATGCTAAACATAAAGGGTGTGAGTTAGTTGAGTACAAGTTTGGCAAAGGTACGTGTTGTCGTTTTCCCTGAATAGTAGCTATAGATACTTGGTCAGTCGTAAGCAGTTGAGCTAGGGAAGTATTTCTTTAGCTCAGTCCGTTAGAGCGCTGACATGTAACATAGACAACCCAGATTTTCTAATAAGAATCATGCTCTCTGGTAACAATATAAATTTTCCCATAATGGTCAAGTGAACTTGTAATAAGTAATATATGACACTTAATGTATGTTGTATAGCATGCATGCAGGCTATATCAACCAAATTGAGTTTTAGTAAGTTATCTGGTAATAGGAATTTTTCAGCATGTTCAATGATCCTCAGTTTCTTGGTCAACACTAAAAACCAACTGTGCGAGGGATTAATAGCCAGTCAAAAAAATCACATGTATTGAAAAAGCTGAACTGCTTTTGCCAAAGTATTGTATGTAAATTTATATTAAGAAAGAAAAGAAATGCATGTTTACTAAATAGGGTGGGAACAAAGACTATTTGGAAGCTTTGTCAACACTTCATGTTTTCTTCTTTTTCTTCTATTTTTAGCAATGAAGCTCAAAGTACCATCAGCAGAATAGTTGTGAGTATTGAAATTGCATAAAAAGTAGATAATTTGAGAAACTTTTAGGAGCATGCCTATCAGTCATAATGATAGACTAGAAGCCTGCTGGGATGTCCAGTGAAAATGTATTTGGTCCAGAAGACCAAAGAGCTGTTCTTGAACACACTTTATTTGGAGATTTATTGCATTTAAGAATTAATGACCCACAGAGTGCATTAATTGTAAAATGCCTTAACAACATTTATAGAAATATTTATTTTTTAATTTGAAAATGTACAAAGAAATCCTACAACATGTATTAGCAGATTTGTAATGTTAAAGTGCATAAAATGCATTATGATGTTGTCAATGTCCATCTCATATTTGATAGAGAATTTGAATATATGGAACCAACATGTACCACAAAGAGAAATCTGAACAATCATATAACAATGTAGAACAAATTTACAAGAGTCATACATTTTATGCATTTAATGATTCACAGGTTAGAAGAATTTCACATTTTACACCACATTTCATCTCCATATTGTGGATGTCAGATTTATACATTGATAGAAGTGTACCAAATACTCCAAAGGGTCGCTTGTGTATGGTATCTTCCAACGTAAATTCATTATCCTGTATATAAATTAACATGATAAAAAAAATCATCATTACAACACAAATTAAAAGAATATTACTTTTCCAACTGAATTTCTGTTCCATATTGAAGATGTGTTTATAAAGATAATGATTTTTATTTAAGAATGAAGTAAAGAGTTTATCAGATGTAGAAAAACTGTTCCTGTATTTAAAGTTACCTACTGGAGATTCCTGTAAAGATTTTAGGAAGTAAGTAATTTACAGTGGAAGAGAGAAAACAGATCATTCAGTGTGGGTTATTTATTATTCGTGAGATAGCAATTTTCGTTGATTTCGTGGTTACTTATGAACCACAAATTTAAATATTCAAAGAAGTTGAATGTTCATATAGATGTGTATGGAGACTTGTGTAAAACCATGAAATCAAATATCCAAAATGTAAATTTTCCTTAATCCAAGAAAATTGGTACCAATGAAAATAAATGAACCCACATTTACCTAGGGGCATAATGTTTTTTGGTCTGTGTGTTCGTCCGTCTGTCCTGCTTCAGGTTAAAGTTTTTTGGTTAAAGTTTTTAGTCAAGGTAGTTTTTGATGAAGTTGAAGTCCCATCAACTTGAAACTTAGTACACATGTTCCCTATGATATGATCTTTCTAAATTTTAATGCCAAATTAGAGTTTTGACACCAATTTCACAGTCCACTGAACATAGAAAATGATAGTGCAAGTGGGGCATCCATGTACTATGGACACATTCTTGTTTTACCAAAATGTAGCTGGAAGACTTATAAATAAATTTTACAATTTTGCAAATGACCAATGTGTGACTGGAAGACTTGCTGTAAAGTGTAAATTAATCCAAGACAAGATTTTACATTTATTGATGTCCAGTTTAAAGACAGGTGTAACATAGAAACCAGTTTTAGTGTGATTTCATTCATTTATACAACAATAATAAAGACAAACTAAGAACTCCCATGTTATCACCTGTGGCTCTTTTCACAACAAATCTTACGATTAATTTTTATTGTAAGTTTAACTGAAATGTTCATGACTTGCAAGTATTTTTACTCACAAGGTTTCCCCTGGATCAAATTCTTTTTTCGCCACCTCTTTCGTCAAAACAATATTTTTTCGGCAACTCACATAAACATCTTTTGTTTAGAACTTGTTTTCCTTCTTGCTAACAAAAAAATCACTTTGCAGCATTGTCTCATTTATTATAATTCTGCATATCAATTTCATATCCCACATTGTAATAAGTGAATACTCAATTAGAACAAAAAATTCTTGAACTTTTTTTTATGGATACTGTTAAATTTGTCTTCCAGGAACACAGGTTCATCTTCAATCATTTTATTGGATACTTCCTGTCTAGTTAATAGAATAAAATCAGAAATTTTCATATTTTAATTAGTCCATTGTTGTTGACTGCTGTCAAATGCAATCAGTTGATTATTGATTTTCTGACGAAATTGTTACACGTGAAGAGTTCAAGGTAAAATCCTAGTATTGTCTGATCAGGGAAAAGTTAGAGAAACCTGAAACAAAATTAACAAGATGGACGAAGTTGAATCATTAAATTTCTTTTGCCAAAATCTTTCGCCATTCATGTATTTTAATTGCTACAACTATATTTTTTTCGCAAAATGTGAAAATGGTGACCACCTGTTTACTCTTAAATTTTCATGAAAAAATTTGTTTTTGTAGCTTTAAAGATGATGAACTGAAATTCACTCAAGCAAATATGATTTTAAAGGAATAAGTGTCAGATATAATGATGATGATGAATTTGTGTTTAACGATCATTGTGACCAAATTGTTCAAAACTGCTTATTTCATTGACGGATAACAAGATATATATATACATATAATACTGGAACTGGACAATTTTTTCCAACTTGTGACCAAAAAAATCCAGAGCAGAGCTGCTGACCCAATAACATCTTGGTATCAAACAAAGGCATTCTTTATGTAGCCTGTATTTCTGGTTATTGTGGGTTGCTGTCTGCCATATTTGTTTTTAGCATAACTCAGGTTGCAGGGTTTTTTTGTTGTTGATTGTTACAATTTAATACATATTTATTTTTCCCTTATAAAAAAACATTTTTTTTTCTTCAGGACCCCAACTATAGGAGTACAGAAACCTAACAGAACACAGCAAGCCCAGACATATACATGGATCAAGTCACATTTAGAAGAAGATGAACTTATCTGCTTACCCAAACAAGATGTGTATGATGATTACAGGTAAGGATGGTATTATCAGACAATTTATGTGGAGTTATCTCCCATTCTACAGTGTGTATTACAGTCTACAAGAAGTTAAGGAGTTATCTCCCATGCTGCAATGTGTATTACAGGTTATTCATAATGTATTTCCATAGTTGTATTCCATATTTTATACTTTTGAAGAACAGTTAGTAATTCTTCTTACTAGAAAAGTCGGCATTGTAAAACAGCCAAAAAACACATATGGTCCTGCGGCATAAGTTGACTTAAAATAGAGCTAAAAAACATCTATTTTTTTGCTTAATGGGAAAGGCAATTTGTTAATGGCTCTTTTGTACATAAATTGAATATATTTTTAATACGACCGCAAAAAATTTTTGCGGTCGTATATTGGTATGACGTTGGCGTCGTCGTCGTTGTCGTCCGAAGACACATTGGTTTTCGCACTGTAACTTTAGTTTAAGTGAATGGATCTCTATGAAATTTTACCAAAAGGTTCAATACCACAAAAGGAAGGTTGGGATTGATTTTGGGGGTTATGGTACCAACAGTAAAGGAATTAGGGGCCAAAAATAAGCATTTTTGTAACTTCCAGACATAACTTGTGTGTTAGTGTATGGATCTCTCTGACATTGTACCACAAGGTTCCATATCACACAGGGAATGCTGGGATTGATTTTTGGGGTAATTGCCTCAAAATTTTAGGAATTAGGGGCCAAAAAAGGGACAAAAAACAAGCATTTTTCTAGTTTCATGATAATAACTTGTGTGTAAGTGTTTGGATATTTCTGAAATTGTACTACAAGGTTCCATATCACAAAGGGAAAACTGGAACTGAGTTTGGGGGTAATTGCCCGAAACTTTTAGGAATTGGGGACCAAAGAGGGGCCAAAAATAAGCATTTTTCTAGTTCCCAGACAATAACTTGTGTTCAAGTGTATGGATCTCTCTGAAATTGTACTGCAAGGTACCATACCACAAAGGGATAGCTGGGATTGATGATAGGGGTAGTTGCCTCAATATTTTAGGAATTAGGGGCCAAAAAGGGGCAAAAAACAAGCATTTTTCTAGTTTCAGGACAATAACTTGTGTGTAAGTGTATGGATCTTTCTGAAATTGTACTACAAGGTTCTTTATCACAAAGGGAAAGCTGGAATTGAGTTTAGGGGTAATTGCCCAAAACGTTTAGGAAAAAGGGGCCAAAAATAAGCATTTTTATACGCCCGTCAAATTTTTGACGGGACGTATTATGGTATACAAATGTCCGGCGTCTGTCTGTCTGTCTGTCTGTCCGCGTAAACATGTCGCACCGTAACTTGAGAAAGACTTATCCAAATTTCATGAAACTTAAAATAGTTGTTTCTTATGATGGTCAAACGATCTGTATACTTTTTGGTGAAAATAAGATTAAAACTTTTTGAGTTATGGGACTTAGTAACTAAAACAGGTGTGTGTTTTTTTTCACATGTCGCGCCGTATCTCAAAAACGATTTATGATTATTGCTTAAAACTGAACACACTTCTTAGTTATATTAATCTTAAGATCTGAATACTTTTTGGTGATGATTCAAAATTTTATTTTTGAGTTATTGAGTATTTTGTAAAAAAAGGGGGAGGGGTTTTTCACATGTCGCGCCGTATCTCAAAAACGATTTATGATTATTGCTTAAAACTTTACACTCTTCTTTGTTATATTAATCTTAAGATCTGTATACTTTTTGGTGATGATTCAAAATTTTATTTTTGAGTTATTGAGTATTTTGTAAAGAAAGGGGGAGGGGTTTTTCACATGTCGAGCCGTATCTCAAAAACGATTTATGATTATTGCTTAAAATTTTACACACTTCTTAGTTATATTAATCGAAAGATCTGTATAGTTTTTGGTTTTGATTCCAAATTTTATTTTTGAGATATTGATTTTTTTTTTTAAAAGGGGGGGTTTTCACATGTCGCGTCGTATCTCAAAAACGATTTATGATTATTGCTTAAAATTTTACACACTTCTTAGTTATATTAATCTAAAGATCTGTATACTTTTTGCTTTTGATTCAAAATTTTATTTTAGAGATATTGAGTTTTTTGTAAAAAAAAAGGGGGGTTTTCGCATGTCACGCCGTATGTCAGAAACTATTTATGCTTATTGCATAAAAATTCACACACAAGATGACGGGCGTATCATACGCTCATGGCGCAGCTGTTTATTCTAGTTTACAGACAATAACTTGTGTTCAAGTGTATGGATCTCTCTGAAATTGTACTGCAAGGTACCATACCACAAAGGGAAGGCTGGGATTGATTTTGGGGGTAATTGCTTCAAAATATTAGGAATTAGGGGGCAAAAAAAAGCATTTTTCTAATATCATGACAATAACTTGTGTGTAAGTGTATGGATCTTTCTGAAATTGTACTACAAGGTTCTATATCACAAAGGGAAAGCTTGAATTGAGTTTGGGGGTAATTGCCCAAAACGTTTAGGAATAAGGGGCCAAAAATAAGCATTTTTCTAGTTTCCAGACAAAAACTTGTGTTCAAGTGTATGGATCTCTCTGAAATTGTACTGCAAGGTACCATACCACAAAGGGAAGGCTGGGTTTGAGTTTTGGGGTAATTACCCTAAACGTTTAGGAATAAGGGGCCAAAAAAGGTGCAAAAAACAAATTTTTCTAGTTTCAGGACAATAACTTGTGTGTACATTTTTTATACGCCCGTTTACGGGACGTATTATGGTATACCGTTGTCTGTCCGTCCGTCTGTCCGTCCGTCCGTCGTCAACATGTCGGACATTAATTCAAAAATGCTTTAACCAATTTGCTTAAAACTTTGGTGAATTGTTTATATCTATTGACGTGAGCTCCCTTTCGTTTTTTATAAATTTTAGATTTTACGTTTCCGAGTTATGGGGTTTTATTCATTAAAAAAAGGGTGATTTTCCAGTTTTAGGACAATAACTCAAGAATGCTTTCACCAACTTGCATGAAATTTTGGTTAATTGTTTATATCTTATGACATGAGCCCCCTTTGGATTTTTATAAATTTTAGATTTTACGTTTCCGAGTTATGGGGTTTTATTCATAAAAAAAAGGGGGGATTTTCCAGTTTTCGGACAATAACTCAAAAATGCTTTCAGCAGTTCTCATGAAACTTTGATGAATTGTTGATATCTATTGATGTAAGCTCCCTTTAGAATTTTATAAATTTAAGATTTTACATTTCCGAATTATGGGGTTTATTCATTAAAAAAGGGGAGATTTTCCAGTTTTCAGACAAAAACTCAAAAATGCTTTCAGCAATTCGTATGAAACTTTGGTGAATTGTTTATATCTATTGATGAAAGCTCCCTTTAGAATTTTATAATTTTTATTTGTTTATAGTCTGACAACAGATTTACTAAGTATTGCGCAACAGCACAGTGTATTGCACAACAGCAAGAAATCTTTAATTGAATATAAATTCAATTCATATAACCAACTTCAAGTTCTTTGACTACATTTATTCAGAAACCTATAATAGATGTATGTCAAATATTTAATTACAATCCAAATTCAGACCTGTATCAAGCTTGAATATTGTGTCCATTTTTGCCCCAACTGTTCAGGGTTAGACCTCTGCAGGCGTATCCAGCTGCGCTCAGCGAAGCAGTTTATTGTAAGTGTATGGATCTTTATGAAATTGTACTACAAGGTTCCATATCACAATGGGAAAGCTGGGTTTGAGTTTGGGGGTAATTGCCCTAAAAAGAATTTGGGTCCAAAAAGGGGTAAAAAAACAAGCATTTTTCTAGTTTCCAGACAATAACTTGTGTTCAAGTGTATGGATCTCTGAAATTGTGCTGCAGGTACCATACCACAAAGGGAAGGCTGGGATTGAGTTTGGGGTGATGAATCATAAGGGGGATCAAAAAATTGGGGGGGGGGGATTTTGGTTATTTCTGATTTATATATAAAAGCAAATAATAATGATATGGTTTGAAAAGGTAAATTAAAAATTCTTAAGTTCTTAGACCACATTCATTCTGTGTCAGAAACCTGTGCTGTGTCAAATATTTAATCACAATCCAAATTCAGTGCTGTATCAACCTTGAAAGTTGTGTCCATACTTGCCCCAACTGTTCAGGGTTCGACCTCTGCAGTCGTATCAAGCTGTGCCCAAGTGGAGCATTTTATTACACCTGGTTAAATATGAATTTTTTCAGATTTTCTAAATCTTATTGACTAGGCTTTGATTAAAAATAATTTCAACCTTGTATCATGCAATCAGAAGCCGCACAAGATTTTATTCTAAGTACCATCTTTGAGGTAAAAAATTTGCTGGTAAAATGTAAACAAATAATTGTGCTCTCGAAACCTTCAGCCTATAATCAAACAATTTAAGTGGAGTGGTCTCCCATGATGCTGTTTGTTACAGATAGAGATTTTGAATTCCTATAAATTTAATTATGCTTTTTTTTTTTTTTTTTGAGATTTCTAGATTGTATGATCAATTTAATAATTTTAGCTTATTTTAACTTTCACTTATTTATAGTGCAACAAAGTTAACATGAAAAGAGGAGAAAAGGAAAAAAAACCCCACCAAAATATTTAACAACCATATTTGCTTATGTTTATTTTGTCATAATAGGTTCTCCCTTTAATAATGAATAAAATTTAATGGCTCTCGTACTAGGTTATATTATGTATTTAATAACTTTGAAAAAATGAAATTAAGTATGAAAAGTCATATATTCTCTATGTGGGTGGTATTTGTAGTATTCAGTATAAATATATTTCACTTTATTAAGTTATCTTTGTTTTATATTTGCAGGTCCTATTGTGAAAATCATGATATAAAGCCCCTAAGTACAGCAGATTTTGGCAAGTTGATGAAATCAGTGTTTCCTAATGTTAAACCAAGAAGATTGGGACAAAGAGGGCAATCAAGATATCCTTTTTCTAATCTTCATTATACAATGTGAAATATAAACAGTCTGCATTGTTAGTCACTAGTCCAATGCACCAGACTAGTAAAATTTTATTCGGTCTTTTAAGTATTTGCAAATTTTTCAATTCTGTTTTCTAACTTAAGTTTGCCTCAACCAAATGTTATGAATCTTATAGACAATGCTTATTAATACAAAACACAGATCAAATTTGAATTTGGGTGTCGTCACTCTTACCATTTTAGAGTTATGCCGCTTTACAAATGGAAAAATTGCTGAATTTTTCGTTTCCGTCCTCGAACTTAAGTTTGCCTCAACTAAATGTTATGAAACTTATACACAATGCTTATTACCACAAAAGTACTAATTTGGGTAGTGTCACTTTTACCGTTCTTAAGTTATGTCCATTTATAGCATTATATGAAAGTGGGGGCATCATCAGTGTCTCATGGACACATTCCCCATTTATTTAGAAAAGAGTGGCTAGTCCTTTGATATTTGATATTTCCAGGAGAGGCTAAAAATACCAACAGAATATTCAAACTCATAAGTCAATGACAAACTGACAAGGCCATGGCAAAAAATAAAAAAATGGAACAAGGACAAGGACAACCTGCAACATAGCAAACTCACCCCAATAAATACCAGGAGTGATATCAGGTGTCCCAGAAGGGTAAGAAGGACCTGCCTCATATGTGGCACCCATCCAGTTGCTCATGTATACACTACAGTTAAGGTAGATTTTGCTCTATCCACCTGTCCACCATAGGATGTCCACTCAAATTTGATATCAAATTTTGTAAAAGCATGGAAAGTAATAGCTTGTGTTATTAGTCCTCTACCAATGAAGTAAAAGGGGACTTTAGGTTTGCATTCTGTCTGTCTGTCTGTCAGTCCAGCAAATCAGTTTTCCACACTTTTTTTCTTTGTGCTTGAAGATATTGATCTTATATTTGGTGTATTGTTTAATCATGACAAGTTACAGATCAAGTTCGAATTTCCTTTGGGTTTGAAGAATTTATGCAGAGTTATGGTCCTTGAACTAAGAAAAATTAACTCAAATAATCAGTTTTCCGCACTTTTTTTGTCATGCTTGTTTTTCAAAGATATTGTACAGTCAATTCATGTCCGCTTTAAAGGGCACAAGGGACATATAAAATTTTCTTCAATTTATAGGACCAGTTAAAGCCAGCAATAACATACATGTAATTTCAGTCTTAAAATAATATGAATTTGGAATTGGAATAAAATTGAGAATGGAAATGGGGAATGTGTCAAAGAAAGTACAACCCGACCAAAGAGCAAAAAACAGCCTAAGGCCACCAATGGGTCTTCAATTCAACAAGAAAATGACGCACCCGGAGGCGGGCTTAAGCTGGCCCCTACACAAAAATATGTACTAGTTCAGTGAAAATGGACGTCACACTAAACTCCAAAACAAGTAAATGAACTAAAATTAAAAAAAAAAACATACAAGACTAACAAAGGCCAGAGGCTCTTGACTTGGGACAGGGGCAAAAATGCAGCGGGGAATGTATAAGTGTTGTAATTTCCTTAACATTACATACATATTGTTATGGTGGACTAAGGAAGAAATTAGATGTTTTGCCGCCAACATTACCTGAGTTAGAAATCTTATCAAATTCAGCAGTAAGTACCAATAATCACATAGATATAAGAAGATGTGGTATGAGTGCCAATGAGACAACTATCCATCCAAGTCACAGTGAGTAAAAGTAAACCATTATAGGTCAAAGTACGGCCTTCAACATGGAGCCTTGGCTTACACCCAACAGCAAGCTATAAAGGGCCCCAAAATTACTAGTGTAAAACAAATCAAACAGGAAAAAACCAACGGTCTAATCTATATAAAAAAGGAGAAAAGAGAAACACTTATGAACCACATCAACAAACGACAACTACTAAACATCAAATTCCTGACTTAGGACAGGTGCAAACAATTGCAACGGGTTTAAACGTTTTAATGGTACCAAACCTTCACCCTTTTTCTGAAACAATAGCTTAACATCACAACATAGAAAGACACACTATAAAATATCAATTCAAACAGGAAAACCAATGGTATAATAACATAGATGAATCATAGTACTGTAAATTCAGAAATTCATGTGTGCGTTTATTATTCGGAATGATTGATGACTGGTAAAAATGCAAGATCTAATTTATATGCAATTGCAAAAAAAAAAATGTGAAGAAAAATCACTACTAAAATTATGAATACAAGATTTTATTATTGTGAACCTAATACTGACACATTTTTGGCATTGATAAAAACATTGTGATAATTTCTGAACTGACAGTAATCCGTAGCATTACAACATTGTGATAATTTCTGAACTGACAGTAATCCGTAGCATTACAACATTGTGATAATTTCTGAACTGACAGTAATCCGTAGCATTACAACATTGTGATAATTTCTGAACTGACAGTAATCCGTAGCATTACAACATTGTGATAATTTCTGAACTGACAGTAATCCGTAGCATTACAACATTGTGATAATTTCTGAACTGACAGTAATCCGTAGCATTACAACATTGTGATAATTTCTGAACTGACAGTAATCCGTAGCATTACAACATTGTGATAATTTCTGAACTGACAGTAATTCGTAGCATTACAACATTGTGATAATTTCTGAACTGACAGTAATCCGTAGCATTACAACATTGTGATAATTTCTGAACTGACAGTAATCCGTAGCATTACAACATTGTGATAATTTCTGAACTGACAGTAATCCGTAGCATTACAACATTGTGATAATTTCTGAACTGACAGTAATCCGTAGCATTACAACATTGTGATAATTTCTGAACTGACAGTAATCCGTAGCATTACAACATTGCATACGAAAACAAACGAAAAGCTTTATTTAACTCATAAATTATTCAATGTTTTTAGCATAACAAATATGTAACTATAAGAATTGAATGTATTTTTTTCATGAGCTTAAAGGGTTGTAAAATTCATACAAAATGTACTTTGGTAAAAGATTTTACACCGCAATAAAATTACAGAAAGAAGCATTCAATTCTTATTTACAGCGCACAGTCCTAAATCCAGCAACTCTGACAATTTTAGGATGATATGTTTATTGTAATTTTCACTAATTCGGTAGATCTTTCAGGAAAAGTATCATTGAAATGTACAGTCAAACCTTGTTATGTCGAAGTCGAAGGGACCGGACCAAAGTATTCGACTCATCCGAGATTCGACTCATCCGAGGTCGAGTTTGTCCTCATAAATGTTCAACACACTAAGGCCAATTAAAATTAATTGATAGATTTTCATCCCCGCCCGCCCCTCTGAAATCGTTCCGCCCCAATTTTTTTTATTTTGAAAAATTTTCGATTTCCGGATTTTGTTCATTTTCGTTACTGGTAACTGTCGATAATTTCGTTTCATTAATAACATCCTGTTTCAAATTTTGGTTTTTGCATTTCTTTGTATGTTTGATTCGTTATACATGTATATACATGATAGAACCTTATTATTACACTTGCATATATGAAGAACACGTCACAAGAGCGTTTCATATCTAATAAAAAATAAAAAATAAAATCCTCCCACCCACCCCATTTTTTTCAAAAATTTGGATGAAAATCTACTAATTAAATTTACTTGGCCTAACATTCCGCTTGAACAATCAACAAAGGTGTTAATTACCGGTCACCATAAACATGTCATTTTAACTGTTATACAAACAAATATGTTAACTCAGCTTTAATCTCTTTCGAAAATGATTAGGTTGCATAAGAAATACATCCGATTTGAATTTTTATCCTTTCGAAAATTCTTCCTTTCGAACTTCGAGACATCGGGGTCAATTTACATTAATTTTACATCGACTGGACTATCAAATTTACTCGACTTAACCGAGTATTCGAATCAACCGAGTTTGACTCATCAGAGGTAATTATGCATTGATCAAACGGGAATTTTACCGGGACCGAGAAATTACTTCGACTCATCCGAGTTTTCGACACAACCGAGTTCGACACAACTAGGTTCGACTGTAGTACATTCTTTTAATAGAAAGAAACATTATGTTTCATACTTTATTAATTCAAAATCCACATTTTCAAAATGCTTGTTAAGGTTCAGATAATTGAGATTATTATATTGGTATATTTTGGCAGTTTTAACAAAAATAGTGCCTTAAATTTGATGCATATTTAGAATTGGGTGCTTTTAATACGACCGCAAAACAATTTGTGGTTGTATATTGGTATGACGCTGGCGTCGTCGTCGTCGTTGTCGTCGTCATCGTCCGAAGACACATTAGTTTTCGCACTCTAACTTTAGTTTAAGTGAATAGATCTCAATGAAATTTTACCATAAGGTTCAATACCACAAAAGGAAGGTGGGGATTGATTTTGGGGGTTATGGTACCCACAGTTAAGGAATTAGGGGCCAAAAATAAGCATTTTTGTAACTTCCAGACATTACTTGTGTGTAAGTGTATGGATCTCTCTGACATTGTACCACAAGGTTCCATATCACAAAGGGAATGCTGGGATTGATTTTGGGGGTAATTGCCTCCAAATTTTAGGAATTAGGGGCCAAAAAGGGGCAAAAAACAAGCATTTTTCTAGTTTCATGACAATAACTTGTGTGTAAGTGTATGGATCTTTCTGACATTGTATCACAAGGTTCCATATCACAAAGGGAATGCTGGGATTGATTTTGGGGGTAATTGCCTCCAAATTTTAGGAATTAGGGACCAAAAAGGGGCAAAAAACAAGCATTTTTCTAGTTTCATGACAATAACTTGTGTGTAAGTGTATGGATCTCTCTGACATTGTATCACAAGGTTCCATATCACAAATGGAATGCTGGGATTGATTTTGGGGGTAATTGCCTCAAAATTTTAGGAATTAGGGGCCAAAAAGGGGCAAAAAACAAGCATTTTTCTAGTTTCATGACAATAACTTGTGTGTAAGTGTATGGATCTTTTTGAAATTGTACTACAAGGTTCCATATCACAAAGGGAAAGCTTGAATTGTTTGGGGGTAATTGCCCAAAAAGGTTAGTAATAAGGGACCAAAAAGGGGCCAAAAATAAGCATTTTTCTAGTTTCCAGACAATAACTTGTGTTCAAATGTAAGGATCTCTCTGAAATTGTACTGTAAGGTACCATACCACAAAGGGAAGGCTGGGATTGATTTTGGGGGTAATTCCCTCAAAATTTTAGTAATTAGGGGCCATAAAAAGGGCAAAAAACAAGCATTTTTCTAGTTTCAGGACAATAACTTGTGTGTAAGTGTATGGATCTTTATGAAATTGTATTGCAAGGTTCCATATCACAAAGGGAAAGCTGGGTTTGAGTTTGGGGGTAATTGCCCTAAACGTTTAGTAATTTGGGGCCAAAAAGGGGCCAAAAAACCAGCATTTTTCTAGTTTCCAGACAATAACTTGTGTTCAAGTGTATGGATCTCTATGAAATTGTACTGCAAGGTACCATACCACAAAGGGAAAGCTTGGATTGAGTTTGGGGGTGATGAATCATAAGGGGGTTCAAAAAATTGGGGGGGATTTTTTTTTTCTTTAAAATTTTCCATTTTAAATTGGTTATTTCTGATTTATATATAAAAGCAAATAATAATGATATGGTTTGAATAGGTAAATTAAAAAATTTTAAGTTCTTAGACCACTTTCATTCTGTGTGAGAAACCTATGCTGTGTCAAATATTTAATTACAATCCAAATTCAGTGCTGTATCAAGCTTGAATGTTGTGTCCATACTTGCCCCAACTGTTCAGGGTTCGACCTCTGTGGTCGTATCAAGCTGCGCCCCAGCGGAGCATTTTATTGTCAGTTCTTGTGAATGGATAGTGGATGGGTAATAAAATACTGAAAACCAACAAAATAACGCGAAAAATAAATCGTCGTGAATATAGAGCTCTTGGGGCTTCTCTCATATAATTACATCAAGAAAATGAGTAAACCGCGAAAATAAATTGCCGCGAAACCGGCTGAAAATTGCTAAACGTGAAAGAAAGTATCCGTGAAAATAAGTTGGTTTACAGTTAAAGTTTTTTGGACACATAAAATAGGATTAATTGATTGCCGTTTGCTTATTATCCACTAAAATAGGACACATTGGAGATGTTCAGTTGTATCAAATATAAACACCATATTAAGAACAAAATGAAAAACAAATATGTGAAAAAACAAAATATTGAAGTTTAATGCATTAAGTTGACATTAGAACTTTAGGATTTATTAGGTTTTTTTTTGCGTTAAAGACTTACTAAAGTTGGAAATATTTATTAACCATGTGATATTTTTTTCTTCAGCCTGGAAATGAAGATGACGAACTCAATACAGCCTCCTGTCAACTGGTATGTGAGTGGGCCCATAAACTTCTCAATGCTAATTTCCAAGGTATACGAGATTTGGCTGAATACCTTATCAGTAACCTGTGTGTTAACAGTAAATCTGTGGCTGCCTTCACTGTCATTGCTGCTATGGAAGATGCAGGCATACAGAATATTAAAGGTATTGATTGTGAATAAAATAATTTTGTTACATATCTTTCATACTTCATAATTAACATAAAGTTATTTTTATATGTAGTTGTATGGAAAAATTGTATGGGAGATATATAGATTCTTACATAGTTACTTGTGGATTATCAGATTTATCCAATCAAAATAGTTAATTATCGAATTTTAAAGTCCGATCCTTAGCGAGGAATTTAAAAAATTGATAATTTAACTATGTAAGAATATGTTTTCTTATGATTATCAAATACATTTTCATTTTAAGACACCCCTTCGAGTGCCTTCCACAATCCACAAAGTTGTCAATTTCTTTAACACCAGTTAGCACATTTCAATTCATCCAGTGAGCTGATAAAGGTTTATGACTCTTAAACTCAGCCAATCGTCTTCTGAGATCATCTATAACCACACGTTGATTAAATTTTTTTATACGATGGGTCCAGTTAATTGTCAAAGAATTAGAAAAAACTCTTTATATGTGTAAGAATCTAAATATTTCACATCTTAAGGGTCCATTGTGAATAGTGTACTTTTAACCTTAATTAGAGAAATGTTTGTGGCTGAATGGTTTCATTAGTTGTTTGATTATCTTAAAAAATGACTAACAGGCTTTAACACTTTAGCAGACTTTAGGATTAACCACATGCACTACAGCATAGGCCAGTAAAAATTTTGTGTGGCCAGTAATTTTTTCCTGAAAAAAGGATCAACAAGCCAAATACAATTAAAGATATTTTATGAGAGACTGATTTTTCGCGTTTGATAGTCATAGAGTCTTTCATGAAAAGACTGCTATACACTTGTAAATGAATTTAAGTCTTTAACGGTCTTTTTGATCAAAAACAAGGCTAGCCACCATGACATTGAGCAATTATTTAAGTACATATGCTAAGACATAAATATATAGCCAATCAGTTGAATGTTCAAATAGACAATCTTGTATCTCGTCCACTTCACATTTTTATGAAAATTAAATGTCAATGTGGTATTTACAGAGCCATACTTGTTTATATATTTTTTTGAAATTCAATATCAATCTTGTATTTGCAGAGCTGTCCTTGTTTATATATTTATTCTAAAATTGAACCTCCATCTTGTATTTACAGAGCCATCCTTGTTTTCTAACACAACCGGTGGAGATAGACACAGAGAAACACAGATGTTACTTCAGAGAAAACTACAAGAAGGTAAACTCTTACGTGAACAAAAGAAAAAACTTCAACAACAACGTGAGGAAAACGAACAAAAGTTAAAAGAATCTCATGATCGTCAAACTCCGTTCATTACATCTCCATCCATACAGCAGGTGATCAAATCTCCCGTGAAACGATTGTTTGAAGATGGTGGAAATCGATCAAAAAGTGTTCAAGGTAAAACCGATTTACAGCGTAGTCAGTCTGTCATGGTTGTTCAACAGCAGAACAAAACAAAACAAGAAAGATCAAAGTCTATTTCTGAAGTTGACGTTGAAATGGTGAGTGATGAAAAAGACAAAATAGCGTCAAGTTTGATTATTGGTCAACAGAAAAGATCTGATAATAACAAAACAAATCAAATCTTGGCTAGGAAGAATCATCCAGTAGATCCTGCAAGGAAGCTAAATATAGAAATTCCGAAAAATGTTCAAATGGATCAAAATATTCTGAGGGAGCTTACAACAGTACATTGTGAAGAAAACACTGCCAATGTTAATTTTGTTCTTGAAAGTGATGCAAAAATAAATCCAAGGTGTAATATAGAACAAAGAGAAAATAGGAATTTAAATAATCGAGCTGAAATTGAAAGTATGATTTCTGATGAAGTTGATGGGAACCGTCCAGTAAATAATAATAATGTTTTATTAATGGAAGTAGAAAGTGAGAAAACTTCTAGTCAGATACAGCATATCATCAGGAAACCGTCACTCATTTCCGCCAATGTATGGAACATTCCCGTATCCATCAAAGACAATAATTCCGTCAATGCTAACATTGAAACATCTGTTGGAAATGAAAGTATTAAACAGTTGTTGAATAGTAACACTTCAGTTGAGAGGACAGAAAACGATTCTGCTAATCTGATAAGTTCTGCAAACCATTCATCTCGTAGTGCTTTTGTTCCATTCTCGCAAATCCAAAGCAGGAAGGATTCCAATGTTGACTTGTGCAAAGGTCCGTCCATTAATTTGACGCAAAGTGATGGTCAGATTTTTATAACTGTTCCTAACAACTTTGATATCACCAAACTTCCGTCCCATTATTTGGAGAAGATAGAACAAGTCGCTGGCCAAAGTCAGCCATTGAAAAAAGACCGTCCATCTTCATCTTTAACTGAAGCACCCAAGAGGACCACAGAAAATTTGTTAGGAAAAGTTATGTTTCAACCTGTTTTACAGAGCGGGATTATTGCACCAAGTAACTTAGTTGTTTCATCAACAAAAATGTCGACGATTGCCTCAAACAATACTTTACCAACCTTGGCCTCATCGACTGTTTCTATGGAGACCACCAACAAAGTATTGAAAACAGGAACTGTATTGCCTCAGCAGGTAACATCAGATGCCAAAGTTATCTTACCTGCACATTTCAATATCGGAGGAAGTTCTGGAATTGTTCTTGGACAAGGCCAGATTTCTGATATTGGGAAGAATGTCAATTCGGTACCAACTCCTGCACATACAGTTATTCTACCTGTCACCACTTCAAGTTCATCCTGTAGTCAGCTGCTTAAACAGATGGCTCGAGCTCCAGAAATAGCTTTGCTTGCACAACAGGCAAACAATCAGAATGTATTACGAAGACAGACAATAGGCCCTGTCGGAAATCAGGCAAACGTTAGTTCGAGTGGCTCTATAAAAGTTGCTATCAGTGCTGCAGATAAAAGTCACCAGTCAAGCATCCCACAGTTTTCACCTGGAAATGTTGTTCAAGCATTGCTTTCACCAAATGCTACCAATGTTCCATCCATTAACAGACCGGTTGTGTCGCTTACACCACTACAATCGCCTAGTGCTAACAATCTTCCATCCATTATCAGATCAGTTGTTCCAGTTACATCACTACAATCCCCTAGTGCTAACAATCTTCCATCCATGAACAGGCCAATTGTGTCAGTTTCTACACTTCAATCTCCTATTGCTACAAATCAGCCTGTTATGAGTTACCCAGACGTCTCAATGTCATCTGTGCCATTAGTTGTTCCTCGTTCAAGTCCCATATCATCGGTATCAACATCGCTAGCAATTCTAAATTCTCCAAGTCAGTCATCCATGTCATCATTCAAGGTTGTGAATTCAACACCAACTACACTGTGTTCAATCGTTCCACTTAATAATCAAGAAACTTTGGATAATTCACTTCATTCAAACCCGTCCACTCCTAAGAAATCCACAAAAAGCAGATTTGCACCCATTCGTCCAAAAGCCTCGCCAGTGAAAACAATATCCACAATTTTAAAGGACACTAAAATCACTCCAACTGACAATTTTGTTTATGACAAGTCTAAATCCGTGTCTGAACTTCTAAAGGAGAAGAGAGCCCGTGAGGCTGAGCTTGCTTTGAAGAACAAACAACATTCTGGTGCTCAAAATGTAACAGGGACCATTAATATAGACATATCAAATAGTCAGAATATGCCGGGTACAATTAATCCACAGATGTGTTCAAACGTAGAAAACAGGACAAATATTCCAGTTTCAGTCGGGTCATTTTTTGTACCAGCTGATCACAGAAATGTGAAAAATCTGTTTAATGTTGGAATGTCTCAAAAGATACAACCTGGAACATCAGTAGTAAACGGAGACAGGACAGACAGATTACAGAGCGGACAAATACAGGTTCCTCCAGGGTTAGTGTCAACAGGGGATGTTGTATATGTGATAAATCATGTGCCACAAGCACTTGATAAATCACCCGTTAAATCGGTGGTAGCAAGACCAAATACGCTTAGCCTTGGAAAGGATTCTGGGGATGGAGGGGAGAGAAAGAAAGGAGTTGAAAGCCCCGACTTGAACGATGATGATACAATGGATATAGAAGATGTTCTAAAAATGTACAAAGAAAAAGAAAATGATATGGAAGTTTCATGTGAAACACCTTCCAAATTTGCTAAAATTGAAGATGGTGACCAGATTGTTCATTCTCGACCAGGATCCAGGTGTTCTGCCGATATAGAACAGGCTGGTGGTAGGAAGAGGAAATTTTTAAACACAGATAATGGCCAGTTTAGATGTTTTGGTAGAAAGAGGTTGAATTCAGGTGAAGAAACTGATGATGATGTCATTCTTTTTGATCCTCTAGAGGAAAGCAGTGAAAATAGACGTGAGAGTCGTTCATGTACCTTTGAAATAGATGGGAGCCCTAAAACAAATAAGACAATCACATCAGCTCTCAAGCATAAAAGTCAGCACTCTCCAGACATCAGCATGCTGGAAATTGATGCTTTGATAGATCTTGTACAACCTGAACAGCCCCATTCAGTTCGACCACTTAGAAAAGTTAGTTCAGCAGCAGTCGGGGTCAATTCCTTGTCGTTAAGGAAGTCTCAACAACAATTGTTAAAAGAAAAGCCGCTACTAGATCAAATGATAAACACTTTCCTGCAGAAGAAAGATAGAAATATAGCAGATTTCGGTACAGTAGATGGCAAAACTTCAATTATTCAAAACTCAGAAATTTTTCCACATGTGGATATTGCTGGAAAGTCGAACTTTCATTTTGAAACTGAAAATTTGCTGCATGATAGAAGCAAGTCGTTCAGTGATGCCCCACTTTCTGAAAACATGAGTATTTCACATCTTAATGTTCCACATGAGCATGATGTTCTACAGAGTAGTACAGGCTTTGCTATTCCAACAGATTCAGAACTACCAATGGAAGCAGACAGTGATTTGCCTGAAGAAATTGCTGATTTCATAACAGAACAAGTTACTATGGTTGCAGAAGGCATTATGGGAAATAATCCAAATGATAATGTGGAAAATGCTAAATTTTCAAAAGACGTTGAGGCCATTCAGAAGAACTTTCAGAATATTTCGAACAATGAGATGCACAATGCCAGGAATACGTTGCACAATTTTGAAATTAATTCTAATCAGTTGAAAGCTTTACAGCAACTGCAATCATCAAGACCTCAGAGCAGACAAGAAACCAATATTGAGGTAAATAGAATAGGAACGTCCAGGATTTCCGATCGTCCCACAAATATAGGTGATGTCAAATTTGCCAGTCCGCAAAGGCCTGTCAGTAGGAGGCAGAGGACACCTTCTGTTGAAAGAATAACATCACAGATTTCTGCAAATTCAGCTTTGGATCGCAGGTCTGTTACAACTCCAACATTATTTCCAAGTCCAATTCATTCCACAAATGTTAGAAGACGAGAAACTTCAGTTGACAGGATGACCAATCAGACACCATTCTCAGATCCTGGATATGGAAGCATTGGGGCCAGTCCTATATTGAATCCAACACCAGTTTCCCAGTCCATAAATTGTGACACGTCAGTTACATCAGGACACAACTCTAGTTTCATGTCAACCCGTGCCGACTCTGCTCAAAGCATTGCTAGCGACACTGCAATATTCAGCCCAGTGTCATCAGCTATCTCACCCAGATTTCAGACATCAACTCCTTATCCTTTACAATCACCATGTCCAACGCCGTGCCGTAATATTATACAGAGTCCAATAGATGCAGTTGGTCCTGTTCAGTCATTTGTACCAATTCAAGGTTCACAGCTCCAGATTGACAGCAATGTGACATTGATAAAGCCTGTCGTGACAGTGGCTATGTCTCAATCCAATCAAACATCATCAGGACCTCTTCAAGCTAAGGAACAAAATAAACTAAGGAAAGATCTTATTGGAATTGGAAGCATTTTACCAAGAACTGAACATCAGGCATTACAAAAACCTCCACCTTCGTACAGCGATGCTTTATTATCACAACTGCAAGGAAACAGAATGGATCAGAATAGATTGTCAAACAAAGGTGCGTTTGATGTTCCTTCTCAAGGTGCATTTGATGTTCCATCTCAAAGAAATGAACATGTTATTTCACAACAGCAACAAGATACTGGAAATGGGAATTCTGAACAGGTGATGGTTGCACCATTTTCTCACAGGTTGGCATTGATGTCTACAAAATATGGAAGTAGGAAAGTGAATAGAAATTCTTCAGATCTGCATAACCGGTCACTGCCAGAAAATTTATTGCAAAGTAATGATTCAAGTTTATTACCAAACAGTGGACTATCTCAGAACGATGAAGATCATGAGAAATCGCTACAAATCGAATCTATCAAAGCTAGTTTACAAAATAATACTCTTGATCTGGGTAATTTCATTCCAGACTATGACAGTCAGGATTTCTCAAGTTCACAGAACTTAGCTGAGGTAAGGGTCAGAAGGTCAGAGAGAAAAATCAGGCATAGGAAAAGTGATTTAGCGATTGAGAAAATGATGGATGACGATGATATAGAATTCATCGCTAAAAGAAATTTGTCTCTGGATTTGGAACATAATACAAGTTTTAATGAAGATGACCTTGAAACGACCCTTGAGGATCTTAAATCATTGGATGGGCAATACTTTACACACGATAACCAAGATAACAGATTTATTTAATTTGTTTGTTTTAATTAATGGTAAAGTAATGTTTAAAATAGCGTGCTGCCGTAGCAGTGTATTTCTAAAAGTTTGTTACCATTTTGTAAGAAAATTACGGTATTTGACTCACTAGCCAAACTGAAAACTTTTTAAGGGAATCTTTTTTAGGCTGCACAATATTTTGATAAAAATTTGGAATAGAGATGGTGGCTTATTTTGCAGAATTTATTATTTTGATGATAAAATAGCATTTAAAAAAAATACTACTTTTTATTTAGAAAATAGCAAAAAGTAATTTGAATAGACTTCATAGGGAAAACAAAATTTTCAAACTAATGAGAAATTAAGATATTGTTTATTAAAGTTAGTTATAAAAAGACTTCTCTGAATTTATCTTTCACTGCAAGTGTATTGTTTTGTTAAGTGATTTCAAATGTTTTTGTTTTATATACATGCTTCAATTAAAGTTCCAAACAGAAATGGTTCACAAAATGTCAATGACAAAAGAAAGGCAATAAGCCATTGCATCTGTAATAATGTCATGAATTAAAACTTTTCTGTTGTTAAGTTATGGTCAGTAACAGGATTTATTTTGCGTCGGTTTTTGTTTGTTTTTTTTCCTGGTACAATGAAGATTTGATCTCATTTGACCTCAAGTTTATTGTGTTATTGTGTGAAATATTTCATGAACCATGACAAAATTAATGATATGGCTTATAAGTGTTGTAACAATATTGAATATAGGTTTTATGTGTTAGTGTTTAAGGTTTTTTGCCTGAAATTCCACAGACTGGTTGCTTAATGAAAGACAGAAGATTTATGTGTTTACATGCATCATCAGAACATACTGTAAAGTCAGAAATTTTTTCATTAGGCCAATTAAAATTAATTGATAGATTTTCATCCCCGCCCGCCCCTCTGAAATCGTTCCACCCCAATTTTTTTTATTTTCAAAAATTTACGATTTCCGGATTTTGTTCATTTTCGTTACCGGTAACTGTCGATGATTTCGTTTCATTAATAACATCCTGTTTCAAATTTTGGTTTTTGCATTTCTTTGTATGTTTGATTCGTTATACATGTATATACATGATAGAACCTTATTATTACACTTGCATATATGAAGAACACGTCACAAGAGCGTTTCATATCTAATAAAAAATAAAAAATAAAATCCTCCCACCCACCCCATTTTTTTCAAAAATTTGGATGAAAATCTACTAATTAAATTTACTTGGCCTTACATGCATTTGTTATTATAATTTTTTAAGAATTGTCAAAAATGTGAGATTAATTTTAACAATTTCTGTAAATTCTACATGCAGCTAATGCTTTAAAAAATAAAAATGCTTGTTTTTAGTTTTGCATTACCTAAAGTAAAAATTAAATTTCTGATTTTACAGTAGGTTACATTGTTTAAGGTTATGATTTGTCTAAATAGTTGTATAATGCTACCCTTGTATGGTGTAGTTTTCAAATGTTAATGTGTGTACATACTTATAGGTTTATTATGTGTATAACGTGTACATACTTACATGTATAATGTGCTTCTGAACTGATCAAGAAGTTTGTCAAAAGAATGAATAGGAGACCAGATATATTGTGTTGCATTTTGTTGATTTTTAAGCCCATTCTTCATTCTCAGCCACATGCCCACCAGCCCAGACTTCTAGATTTAGTATCCGGCCTGTTAGATTTTTTATTACGAACCAATATGGTCTCTACAAAAGTTTTCAAAAATGAGCTATGGGCCTGTGGCTGCACAAGTTGATCATGAAGACTGTATTAAGTCATGTTTAAAGTTAACTGTAATTTGTTGAGTTTTTTGATGGGAACTTTGAAATTTTATCTAATATATTACTTTACAATGTTTGCAAGAAAATACATAATTTTCAAACACAAGAAAGATATGTGAAAACAGAATGGCTTAAAAATTGCTTTCTTGACAAACTTCATGACTATGTTCCATATAATGAGCCTTGGACTGCAGATTTGTATATATATTTGTAAATATATATTTTATACATAACTTTTGATAGGTATGCAACTATAGTGCTGTTTTATACAAAATAAGTGCTTTTCAAAGTGTCCCTTAAAATGAATAATTGCCAACATTTTTTGTTTTGTTTTTTTACAAATTATTTTAATGTCTCTTTTTATAACATGTAAAATTCATTCATTTCAATCATTAAGTAATTTTATAATGAAATCATAATAATTGATAATTTTAAACATCTTTAAACAACAATTTGCCTCATTTTTATGTTAGTATTATTATCATTTTTAGTTTGAAGTTTTTTCAAGTCTTAAATTTTCCAGGAGAGAAATATTTTTTTTACAGTTAAGTTTGAATATTTCAACATAATTCTTAATTATAGTCCAGAGAACAACACATTATTTGTTTGTGAACATTAGCTGTATAAAAAAGCTTGTTTAAGTACTTTGGTCTTGAATGCAATTTTTATTTCTGCATTGTATTGCTATGTAGGTTTCAAATTCATGTTTCCAGTCTTTTATTACTAGTACTTCATAAAACTTGTTTATTGTGTACAATTAATGCATATCAAGGGTTGATTTTTTCCTCTATTGTAAGTTTGGGTATTAATGTATACAAATTTTGTACTGTAAATTCAGAAACTTTGGCCTCCATTTATTGCTTTGATCAATGGAATTAGAATTGAGATTGATTATTGCAATTTCGGGAAGTGCTGCATAGAAATAACGTTATCAGTTTTTTTTAAGCAAAACATATCCCGATGCATTTTTGGCAACATCACAACAATTTCTGAATTTACAGTAATAGACAGTATTGACTGCTAGAACAGTTATTTCCATTTTTTTTTTTATTTCGGTGAGAAAAATTATCCTTGTTATCCACAAATAATGCCAGTTATCCACAAATCCGAGAAAACTGGTACCTATTGATAAAATTACTTTTATAGTAATAATTTTGTTGTTGCATATTTGTATCATATTAATGTAAGACTTGATGAAAAACTGTTATTTCGTTGTAAAACTTTTATTATTATTATTGTTATTAAGAAACATATTTAAACTGCATTCAAGACTTTGCCTATTTTGAAATATACACAAGAAAAAATTGAGAAGAAGATATCTGGATTTATGTGCTGATTTAATTATTTGCTGATGAAGATTTTTGATTGGATTGTCAAGAATTTATTTGAATTATTCAAAAAGGGCTTTTCATTTACGTATAAATGCTGCTGAAATTCAAAATAACAACATTATCATAAATGCCATCTTTTTCAATATACACTTTTGAAGATTTGACCAATCAAACTGTCACTTCAAAAACTTAAGTGAAAAATAAAGTGGAACATTTTTTAACTTTTGCAAAACAAAAAGAGTCTTGAATGCAGGGTACAATGGTAGACTTGTTAGTGTATAGATTTTATAGTATATATATAATTTGTAATATACTAAATTATAAATTTCCTTTGATCTCATTTAGGGAAAAGTAACTTTGTTCACAGCAAATTTTGCTCACATGGATTTTATGTTAAAAACCAAGAGCTTTACATATTATGTAGACACCTGGAGTTGGTTTCACCAAAAAACTTACGACTAAGATTGATTGGAAGTATACTGAATTGTTCATGACCTACAATTAATCTTAGTCGTAACTTGTTTTGTGAAACCTACCTGTCTATTGTTACAATTTCAAATGGCCCTGAACCTTTCGTTATTTAAGGCAAATTTGAACCCCTGAAATAGCATGGTTTCTTAAAAAATTATAGCACTGACCATATTTATAATACATTGTATTAGAAAATCTATTCAGAAAGCACCATAGTACAACATATAGCATTATGGTACCATTATACTATCAGTTGAGAACACTGTGGAAGGGTTTTTTAAGTTGTATAATGAATAGACAGGTGTCTAAATATCTACAAAACGTGAAGGATTCTAGAATATCTTTTGAAACTGTATTATGTAAATGTCTAAAACTTCTTCCTATTTGTATTATGTGACTTATCTCCTTTGAAAACCATCGAGTTAAGTTTTGCTGTGAACAAATATTAGGTAGGGTTTCTTTGAATAATAATTACTTTTTAAAAACTTTCCAAATCATGACAGGTATTTTTATACTTGAAGCTTTAAAAAGAATACAACAATTTATAAAAAATTAAGCACTTGATTTCAAAACCCTTCCAACACTGAGGCTGTGACTTAAAACCCCACTAGTGGCAGGTTCTGAATTCAATCTTAATTGACTAGGTTTGTCATTTTTTCCTGCCGAAGATTGTGGTTCTCTCTGGGCACTCTTGGGCTTATTCTACCAATAAAACAGACCATAACAATAAAGACGAGAGTGCTGAAAGTGGCATTACACATCAATAATCAATCAATGTAACAACTTCACAATGTTTATTTTGTTATATAATGTTTCTCTTTATAGATAAAGTAAGGATTGTAAATCAGGTGCAGATCCAGAATTTTGAAAAAAGGGGGAGGGGGCCCTGGCAAGCAGACATTTGAGTCTATGCATTTATCATATATGAAGTTCCATAAGGAGGGGCCCAAGCCACCAGCACACCCCTCTAAATGTGCCTCTGTAAATCTTCAGGTATAATTTACCTGTCATGATTGAATTGATTTTCTTTTGATCTCCTTTGATCTCACTTTAATGTATTCATTTGCACTGCTCTTGTTGAGGAGTGTTGTTCACTTATAAAAGAATTATTTATTAGAATTAATGATCAGGTTTTATTTCCATGACAAATTGTGGAAATAACAGACTTCAAAAATTACTAAATGGTTTTAAATTGTAAAATTCAGCTAATTCTTATAAAGAAATTCATGTTTCTTAGCACTACAATAACATATGAGCTGTGTCGGATAGAAATCAACCTTATGCAAATGAATATCAATACATATGTTATCCTAGTTAGGGGTGAAAAAATCTCCATGCAAAAATCTGTAACTATTTGAAAATTGAGTTGTAATAAGAGCCCTACAAAACAGACCAAAATTCATCTTTTATTTCGTATCTGAATTTTTCAAAATCAATCAAGTTTATACATGTGCATGTACATGTATATGTGATGTGCACTTGCATAATGTCGATTTCTATCCGAAGCAGCTCATATAAAATATTAATGTTCCAAAAATGTTTTACTGAAAATTCAGAAATTTTTGCATGGATTTATTTTTTAATTGAACAATGAACACAAATGCGAACTTTATTATTGTGATTTTAGAAAATGCTGCATACAAGTAATGCTAATTAAACTTTGTATGTAAGTTTTTATTTTTGCGAAACCTATCTCATCACACTATTTTATAATGATAAAAAGATCGCAAAAATTTCTGAATATTAAGAACTTATAGATATGACATTGTGGTTGTTCTTTATCCAATAAGAAATCAGATAAAACAAGTCACATGACCATGATGACATTGTGGTTGTTCTTTATCCAATAAGAAATCAGATAAAACAAGTCACATGACCATGATGACATTGTGGTTGTTCTCTATCCAATAAGAAATCAGATAAAACAAGTCACATGACATTGTAATTGTCCTCTGTCCAATGAGAAATCAGATAAACAAGTCACATGACATTGTATTTGTCCTCTGTCCAATGAGAAATCAGATAACCAAGTCACATGACATTGTAGTTGTCCTCTGTCCAATGAGAAATCAGATACAATAAGTCACACTGTGTTCACTATTAATTTTAGGTTAGTCACTTTGCTTAATTTATTAATTTTACCTAATACTCTTTTATTTAACATATCTATTTATTTAATGCTTCATTCCATTTTATTTTTTTCCGTCCATTATTTGTTCTTTCCTTCCATTTTGTATATCATTCTGCCAATATATAAAAGATT